ATAATAACAATTCTGCAGGATTACTGAAGACTATATCTCACTACTTCTGTACCAAGATCAATTGTGTTTCTGTGGGCAGCTCCAAATGATCATCTCTCTGAATAAACCATGGCTAAGATCTAGCTAAGGGACACAGTGGCTCAGTGGCTAAGAAGCTGAGCTTGTCGATCGAAAGGTTGGCAATTCAGCGGTTCGACTCCCTAGTGCCGTGTAACGGGGTGAGGTCCTGTTACTTGTCCCAGATTCTGCCAACCTAGCAGTTCGAAAGCATGTAAAAAATGCAAGTAGAAAAATAGGGACCACCTTTGGTGGGAAGATAACAGCATTCCGTGCACCTTTGGCATTTAGTCATGCCAGCCACATGACCATGGAGATGTCTTTGGACAGTGCTGGCTCTTCGGTTTGAAATGGAGATGAGCACCCCCCCCCCTTAGAGTTGGGAACGACTAGCACATATTACCTTTACCTTTACCTAGGATCTAGCTACAGTTATAGCACATGCAGACAAGTTTTTGAAATTGCTTTAAGGTTCCAGATCCTTTCCAGATTTATGCAGTGAACCTATCTGTTCTATTAAGGAATAATAGTAAATATTATAAATATTGAAATATTAAAGTATACTGTACCTAAATACTGAACTGGAACAAATAAACTTGGCAAGTTTCACCACTGTCTCATGGATGAATAGAGATCAGATCGTCTGTAAGAATTTCCTCTATTGTGTCACTTGTTATTCATGGTTGAAATAGTTTCAAAGGTGATACCAGGTGTATCTTCTTGCATTGAATGTACTTTATATAAACAAAATCGGATTTTCCTTTGAACAACTCTTGTAGAAAAAAATCAATTTCGGGTTACAATGGCTTTGATTTTTCAAGCTAAAGATCCATTGCAAATGTGTTAAGTGGTGAGGATATAAGGTCACCGCATAAATGGAAAGTGTAAAGATGCATTTAAATCAACGTGTAGCTTTGAATCTATGTAATGAACACCCATGAAAGTTGCTGGCTTTTAAGTTTCTCAAATGGATCTCATCCTGCAAGGTTTATTTAACCTTATGGCAGTAAATATGATGGGGCAACACACACACACACACACACACACACACACACACACACACACACACATGTTTATGTATATTTACACAAGCTATTTTTGTTTCAGCCAAGTTTAATTTCTGATGATATCTTGGACCAGGCTTAACCCCTGTTTAGCTTTTGAGTCCAGAAAAGATCACTGAGGTGCTGTCACTTGCTGATTACTATTTGTCCCAGTGTTTTGAGAACTATCTGTTCTGGGGACAGAGTTTTTCATTTTCGTCGTGAATTCTTCAGGATAAAACAAAGTACTTGAACTGACTTCTGCAAACATACAAATTAATCAATCAATTCCCTTTCTCTAACTCTGCGTTTAAACATGCCACTTTTCTGATGATGAGTCATAAAATCCGATGATCTCATTTTCATTTTTCCCAGACTCTTAACTCAAGTAACTGAGTTTTCCCACACAGATCGGGATGAGTTCTTGATTAGATTCATATCCCACTTTTATTTGGGACTTGGTATACCATACTTGGCACCCTATCCTCCAACTTCCATCTCCACCTTCTCACCCTGTGCAAGTTAGTTGCACAGATACTGGCTCAGTCACTGAATGAGCTTCGGTGGCTGAATATGGATATAAATTCCAATCTTTCTAGATCTATTCCAATGCATTAACCATGGTAGTGGCTGCCCATATTTGGCTCAGCTGTTGTATAGAATGTTTTTCAGGAATTTTCCATATCTGCTGACATCTTCCAACTAGTCACCTTTTGGTGACTACATCCTATGTGAAATAGCATATGTAGGCTGGCACTTCCATAATGTGCCTAGAGTCATTTTTAGCAAGTCTCTTTCTCTATGTCTCTCTTTCAGGTTCTCTTGCTATACAAGAATTGTCCTAAAGAATTAAAAAAACAAAGTAGCAGCCACCCAATTAGCTTGCCTTGAGCACCTTAGACACAAAGATACATAAAATACTATTTTTTTAAAAAAGCAAACACAAGTGTAAATTGTCTTGTGCTTTCAGTATGGAGAAGAATGTAAACTGAAATAATTAAATAAAAATCTATTTCTGTTCTGAAAGCAATATTGACTTAAATTGCAGACAAGACTGATGGAAATTCTTTTTTTTTTTTTTTGTGGAGAGACAAATTGCATTATGATGTATGATGCTATGTATAGTTTTGCCAATAATACATTTTTTTTTTCTGCCTCATGTAATCTTTTGCTCCTTAATTCCACGCACATTTACCTGCAGCTAAAATGCATTATGTTTCAGGCCAATATCATTAAAATAATTTATCTACCAATCTCATTATAAAGACAGCATACGTTCCTATCTTTGTTTTAAAGTTTTGAGATGGCTTGAACAATACTGAAACTCATTTCAGAAACACATTCCAGGTACAAATGCCACAACTAATATGACTATTTATTAATCACATTGTTTTCATGAACTGCGAACAAAGGAACTTAACATAGCATGGTTATCTTTGTGAGCTAAAATTGTTACTTTCAAATAATCAGTCTTCAAATATTCTATGCACAGATATTTTTACTTCTGATGATTGGAAAATTTTGTATGTTAACAATAGAAAAGCTCACTTAACACATTGAACTAAGTTAAGCTAAACTTGGTTTTGACTTAGTGTTTGTTAACCCAGCTGTTGTTCTTTGTAAACGATGTACAGTTTACCGTACACAGTGTGAACCTAGACAATGGTAGTTTATTCAGTAAATCATGCAAAAGAAATGTCTGTGTTATATAAACTGTGTGAACTGAGACTATAACAAGTTGTTGTTATGGCAGCAGGAAATTTTGGAAGCTTTTATTACCAATACATCTGAAATACACAATATTGAACTAAATTAAAGCTGCTCTAAATTGAGATTAAGTCTCATTTTAGATTTTCCTGAGAAACATATATTGGGTTTTGATTTATTATGCACCATCTAATTCTTTTTTTTACTTCTAGCAATTATCTTAGATAGATTTTCTTCATGGTACTCTATCCCCAACCTGGTCTTTCAATAGTAGACTCATTAGTACTGTAACTATTGTCTTCTTTTTCTCTTTCCTTCCATTTTTTTCTGGCATTACAGTCTTTTCAAAAGAGTTGGGTCTTTGCCTAATGTGTCCAAAGTAGAATAATTTGAATCTGGTCATTGTGCCTTGAGTAAGAACCTTGTGTCGATTTGTTCAATGATCCATTTTTTTCTTTGTTTACTTTCTTGGCTGTAAGACTCTCAGGAGTCTTCACTAACATCAAACTTCAAAAGCATCAATACTTTAATAATTCTTCAAAGTCCAACTTTCACTTCTAAATATAGTATAATAATAATATAATAACAACAGAGAATGCCACGGATTGTGCAACTCTGATCTTTGAAGGTATAACACATAATGGCAGTTGAATATCTTTTCAAAGACCTTTATGACTGCTCTATCAAGTGCTAATTTGTGGCACATTTTTATTGCTTGTTCTTTTACTGTTGATGCAACCTCTCCTAAAGGCAGAAGCTATCCACTGTATCAATACTGTATCTTCATTGTCAATTCTAAGCCATTTTATACCTGTTATTAGTTTGCTCTTCTCCATATTTAATTTGAGCCCCTTTTTCTCTTTCCTTCTTGACTTTTATTACTAGACCTTGCAGATTCTTTGCATTTTTGACTGTCAGAGTAAGGTTATCAGCATAGCTCCTCTTCCGGTTTTAAAATCATGCTCACCTTCTTTCAATCCAGCTCCCCTTAATGTATATTTAGCATATCGGTTGAACAAATTCAGATAATCCTTGGGTTACAATGGCAATTGGGACTGGTGTCACTAAGTGATGTGGTCATAAACCATGATGTCATGTGCATAAATTGTTTAGTGATGTCTTGCAGTTCATAAGCTATTCCACAGCCAGCACCTGGTCATGTCTTCATGCTATATTTGAGCTTCCCCACCTCCTTTAAGCAATTTGATATCTATACACACTCCCTCTAGTTCTCCATGTATACAGGCTTTGTTTTGATTATCTGAAGGCAGTTTTAGCTATGAAGAAATCAATTTATCAGGTATGACCACTGCTGAACTAAGTTAGCCTAGTCTCACTGACCCATGATTTAATAATATAATTCATTGCTTGGATTACTGCAGGTAATCCAGAGATTGCTGTTAGTATAGAAAGAAGCTCTCCAATTAAGTGAAGTGGATGAATCAGACCATATATATGAATCCAGGAAACACAGCATTGGTTTCCCGAATGCTTCCATCTCCAATTTCAGATAGTGAAATTAATCTATAGAGGCCTAAAGGTTCAGGATCACGAATTTAAATAATTGCCTCCCCCAATACTATCCAATTTAAAATCAGCTGAGGAAGTCTATTGCTGTTCCACTGGTAGATTTGGCTCCCAGGAGTGGAACTTTCTCTTTTATGGCACCCACTTAAGAATTTCTCTCCTGAGGGATGCTTGATTGCTCTGTTCCACACATTGATTTCCTTCAGAAAATGATTAAAAATATTAATGGGATAACTGCTTCTCCAAAAACAGAAGCCTTTGAAAGTTTTACATTCTTATTTTGTTTTAATTATTTTTAACGAGTTTTGTTTTTAAGATAGCTGTGCAGAGCTTTGGATGGGATTCCAAAATGTTGCTCAAAGAATGTAGGAGCATGAATTTGGAATTTGTTGGCAACTCTTGAAAACAGCTGTGCAATTTCAGGAAAAGACACCGCTGCTTTCAGGACTTGTAGACACATTCCTACCTCCGTGCTCCTTGAAAATACTTTTTGGGAATCAAGCCTGTTCAACTGCACGAGCTTAGCTTTTATTATTTTTTGCCCTCACTTGAATGGTTTTATTGTGGTAGTTTTATTTAAGATTTTCCTCCATCGTTTCTGTCTCTTTTTGGAGGATAAAGAGTATAGAATCAAACAAGCAAACAAGTAAATAAGAGACCATAACCTTTAAATAGCAAAATATTAATTTTATGATATGAAAATTTTCCTTATTCCAAGGTTTTTAAACCATGAAAGTCACATTACAATTACAAACAGCAGGTGGTTTTAGATTCATCTGAGATCCCAGAGATAGAATAACGAAAAGTGTTAATCCGCCTTCTCAAATAGAGGCATGAATCATTCACAACACACACAGGCAGAATGTTTCTGTGCAGATTAGAAGGGATTGTGACAGCACCAGCATTACCTTTTGCAGGCTTCCTCTGCCCAGTATTTCAGTGCCCCTAATTGCAAGACAGGATTAGCTTCAACATATATAGAGGGCACCAGGTTGATATTTTAGAAGCAATCTTTGTGCTTTGGAAATATGCACAATAAGCATATAGGTGGAGGAATCGTTATTATTTGCAGAATTAAATGGCATGTGCTGGAGAGAGCACTAGTTTAAACAATGTTTCCTTTATACTTAAAACAGTTAACATTCACCTATTGACCTAGGAATGTGGAGAGGATTTCCTATGGTCCTTAAAAATAGAAAAAAATAGAATAGAATTTTTTATTGGCCAAATGTGATTGGACACACAAAAAATTTGTCTTGGTGCATACGCTCTCAGTGTGCATAAAAGAAAAGATGAATCAACACATTGCAAGAAACCTTACTGTTCTTGTTACAATATCCTGGTTTCTTGTAAGCCTTTAATCAGGTGGCAGATGGGAAAATCGCAACTAACTCAACACTTCCCCCTTCCTTCTCTTTCCTATTTTCCCATCCTGCTTTTTAACAGAGAAATGCAGCTTTTATTTTCTTTTTGCAGGCATGGAACCAATTTTTTGTAATGCCACAAAATATGAAATCATTCACTAAGACTCCTAGGTCAGTGTCAGCTAGTGTGAGAATTCTGCTTTGTTTCATTAAGACCCAGGTTTGAATCAATTTGGGGTTCGGCTAAATTTTATGTACTTCCTACTACAAATCCATATTCATATCTGGGCCACTCTTGATTTCAGCATCACTGATTTCTGCATTGGTACAATTCATTTCCCCTCTTATGCTTCTATTATCTTCTGATCTATCCAGTGATTTTGCTAAAATTGCTCTTATTTAACAATCTCCTCCCCCCATCAACCCAGAGACAACGTTGTCAGCAAAAAAATAACAAAAGTGTCTCTGCAATTAATGTGATCTTGTCTTCTTCAAGCTCAAGTGTTCAGTCTTAACAGGGTAGATGAAGAGGGTGAATTCAACAAGAAAACAACAAGATATAACTAATACCAGAAATTGACAAGTTGGAATTTAGAGGTTGATCACCATGTGATTTCCACCCCCCACAGGCCATCTGAGAAAATGGGAGGAAGGTACATGCTACTCTCCATCTACCTTCCACTTGGTAGTCTCCTGGTCCTTCTTCATATCAGTTCTGGGGAAGTGACAGGATGTAGGGCCAGTTATGTGCTGAACTCATTCTACTGAGTTAGAATGGAGAGACGTGTCCCCCCTCCCTCTCCAGGGGACATTTGTGATTTCTGGACCAGGTCCTTATATATTTCCATTTCTGAAAGAAACTTTGCATTGAAGTTAGGATAAATATTTCCTCTTTTTCCTTCATATGCACATAATCCGAGTTGAAGAAAAATTCAAGATTTCACTGTCTTCTTCCGTTTCCCTCCCCTCTCTCACACACATTAATTTTAATCACACTACAAACAATCTCTATTGCACAAAAACAGGGTTCACATTCAAATTCTCATGTGCAATATAGCGTATTTCAAACTTATTTCAGAGATGTGCTTAGTTATACCAATTCAAAGTGCAAGATTTGTTGGCCTTTTCTAATCTTCCCCACCATGACCATTCATGTGCTTTTACAAGATTTAGCTTCTCTTTTCTCCATCTTTCTTCCATTAGAATCACTTTGCTCACTTATTATTTTCCAAGGATTTTCAATAACCTTCATAACAAAGACAATTAAATATTGCACTTATCAATTTCAGAAAGTTTCTTTCTCAAAAACAAGGTCATATTTTGCTTCAGCTAACAGATGAATGTTACTGAAAGATATTTCTAGATTAAATTGTGGTGTTCTTAACAGTTCACACATATCACCCCCAACCTGGGATAGTTACTACTCTGGTCTTAAAGCCAGCACTTGTGAGCCTTTCTTTAACCTCAGCACAACTGCATATTCTTTTTCTTTGACCTGCCCCACAGAAAAGCAAGCCCATACCAATCCCTAAACTGGACAACAGCCTTGCCAGTTTCTGACAAAGGTCCTTCCAGAAGAGCTTGATGGTGAATTGATAGATGAGGTCAGGACATCACCATTTCCCATCGCTGACTCATTGCCGTGCTTTCACAGGGGTTAATGACCACTTCTCTCATGCTCTCACTGCTATCTCCCACCATTTCTGTGTCCAGGCAATAGCGGGTAGCCATATGCTCAATGTGAGAACCAACTTTATTCCAGCGCTATTAAAGGAAAAATGGGAAATTAAGATTAATCTTATCCTATTCTTATATTTAAGAAGCTCTTCTCATTAAAATATCAAAGCTACTGCAATGATCAGGACAGTATTTTTCTGCAGGCAGGCAAAGACTGCTATCTCTCATTATGGCAAGATGGTGGGGAATGGAAGGATATCAGAGCTGAAGAAGCTTCTCGGATGAGAAACAAAACGTCTTCAAAAGAAAAAACAAGGAAGTCCAGTTGCCTCCTGAAAAAGCACCATGACCTGGATGGCTGAGAATCTCTACAGACTTTCAAGAAAAATGTATCCTGCTGACTGATACCTCTCCAATCCATAGGGGTTACCTGGGGATCAGTCTGATCATTGGACCAAATTGAATTCCTAACTCATGCTTTATGATATATATAATAACTGTTGAATTGTATCTTGAGTTGCATCAATACAGTAAACAAAGAAGAGAACAATTATTTAAGAGAAGCAAATGGAAATTCAGTACCCAAACTTCAGAAATTTTGCGAAGTGCTGACAGCAATGCTGATTATAATATTTTGTTGTTGTTCAGTCACTTCTTTGTGATCCAATAGATAATAGTTCACTAGGATTTCTATTAGTGACTGTTTGAATTGTTCTAAGCTCATGCTGGTTATATCAGTAACAATATCTAACTATTTTATCTTCTGTCAGCCTCTTTTTAAGAATCTGTACAAAGCCAAAGTATTAACAAAATATGTGGAAAATATATTCTCATTGCCCAACATTTAAAGAAAGCTGCTTCAAAACCTGTCAACTGTTATCCGCACGGATACCAACATGATAAGGATGAAGCAATGGATAGGGATGAGGCAATAAAGAGTGTCACATATTTGGGGATAAATGTTTCATGTGCGCAATCATTCATTGGCAAATGATACATCATGATGAATCCCATCTGGTTTAGCCTAACTTTGCACCAATTTTTGGAAAAACAATCATAGTTAGCTATTGGACTATTGCCACAACTTTGCTTATAATTGATATAATTCTGCTTTCTACTATTGCCTCTTAAATTTTAAATCAAGCCCAATGTGTGATATGACTGTTAATAGCATGAGGCATCAACATTTGGCACCTACCGGTAGACAATATGATGTGACTAATTTCCAGACCTTTGACATTTTTAACTGTTCTATCCCAAACAAAACTAAGTAATTTTTTACATTTCCAAATGATTTTCAATGGTATTAATGATCATGTGTTTGTTTTTTTTCCCCCACAGACATTACTACTGTTAGCATGTGGCATGGTCCTTCTGGATTAGAATAGCAGATAAACTCTGGTAAATCAATAAAAAGAAATGAACTAAAGAAAGGGGGGAAAACCCCTTACATCAATACTAATACACTAATACACTGGACGAGAGTTCAACAACCCTGATTTTGGTCTCACCTGTTTGCCATCCCCTTCTTTGCAAGGCAAAAGCATCACCTGGGAACCTGGAAAGAGGGTATGTATGGACAAGCATAACTGTTGAAAGTGGATTTGCTGGTTATATGTATATGTCCATTCCTGAAACAAAGAAGAATGCATTAAACTGATAGTCTTACTTCTCAACATATTTCTTTAACTAAATTAATTATATCTTGCATTTTCTCTCCTATTCAGTGTTAATTTCTTTCCAACTACTGATTTCTCACTTTTGAATAAATCATTAAAAGCATAGGTTTTTCCCCCCCAACAAATTCATTTCTTTGAGTCTATTAATACTCCAGTAGGTTTCATCAAGTCAGGACTTTGGTGGGAGGATACAAAATTTACTGATTATTCACCATTAGCCCTTAACATGGCTACAATGTCTGACTCTCTCAACACAGGACTGGAAAGGATCCGGCCAGGTATCAAAAATTTTATTTATTAAATGTATATGCTCCCATCTCACCTGGAGGTGACTCTAGATGGCTTACAACCAAGTAAAAGTAACAAGACAAAACATTAAAACATTAAATATTAATATTTAAAAATACCATCCTTCCCCTCATCCCTTCTCTCACTTCTGCCAGGAGGACATTAACAGCAGCTACCCTCCCCCCAAATGAAAATAATTTAAGAAGGAATGGAAATGGTTATAATTTTTGGGAGTTGAATTTAAAATGTCTGACTGAAAAGTAACTTGTTCCCTGAAAGCAATATGAATACAGGTAGTCATCAACTTCCAACAATTCTTTTAATGATCATTCAAAGTTACAACGGCACTGAAAAAATGATTTATGACCATGTTTAACACTTATGACCTTTGCAGCATCCCCATGATCATGTGATCAAAATTCAGATGCTTGGCAACTGGTTCTACTTATGACCATTGCTGTGTCCCAAGGTCATTTGGTCACTTTTTGCAACCTTTTGACAAGGAAAATCCATGCAGAAGCCATGTTCAGTTAACAGCCATGTTACTAACTTAACAATTGCAGTGATTCACTTAACAACTGTGGCAAGAAAGGGTGTAAAATGTGGCAAAACTCATTTAACAAATGACTCACTTAACAACAAAAAGTTTGTGATCGTAACTCGAGGGCTACCTGTATAAATCTCTAGGAACACAGCAGTCTTCTAAGTTTATACTAAAATCCCTCAATGTCAGTCTCTGACCCAGTTAGCCAGTTAAAATTTAAAATCTACACACTGTAGATGTTGTACTGGGAACCACTACAGTTATTTTACTCTCAAATATTATATCACAGTATTATATATGATATATCATAGTTACTATGATTGAACCTTGCTGGGTAATTAGTGTGGATCAGTATTAAGAGTTTTTCTTAATATGCTTTTTTCTTTTTTTCTTTTTTTATAGTCACCCCATTAATGTATTTTATCTCTATCCATCATCTCTTAACTTTTTGAAAGTTCCACCATTTGTTGACTTTTTGGTCTCCTTTTTATTTTTCTCTCTTGGAATTTTATAACTCTTTCTAACTTTTTATACCCTCTGAATATTCCCTTTAACTTGCCCATGTCTCCTTCTGCTGCATCATTTGAGCAGCCATCCATAGACTTTTCTTTTTTTTAAAGAAAAAATTTTAAGAGATTTTTTAAATCTATTCTACTGTAATTCTCTTAAAGAATTATCTATTTGATTCCCACTTATTCATTCTTTCTCTTCATTATCTTTCTCTTCTTGCATCTTATTTTGATTTGTCTCCTCCACTGCTTCTTCTGGTTTGTCATCTATTTTCTGAATATTATGTTCATCTTTCCCCCCATTTGTTGAGGATCTTCTACACTCACTTCTTTATCTTTAGACAGTCTCCTTGTATCCTTATTGTTCTTTATTGTTTCATGCAAACTTTTGAGCATCAATAATGTTTCTGCATACACCTCTATTATCCCCTGCTGAGACATTTTGTAATAATTTCATTAAAAAAATTACTCAGTATACCTCTATGATTCCAATGTCCCAATATTTAAAAACTCCAGCAAAGCCAATTATTAATAACATTTAACCAATCCCATAATTGTGCCTCCAAATCCCCTAAATTTATAATCTTAAAGTTCTTTAGTAATTTACAGTCTTGTTAATTAGTTATTTGTCTTCCCAATTGTCCAAATTTTAAAATCTTATTTAGCTTTCCTTCTTTTCTTTTTTCTATCACCTTTCTTCTTTTGCCTCGTAGGATGTTCTGTCAAATAACATTAATAATCCAAATCCAAATTAATCCACCAAGTTTCCTCAAATCTTTCAAATCCACCATCCAATAAACAGTTCCAATGGAATATGATTATTTGCAATTTAGTTTGTGCTAAAGATCTTCAAAGAAACTCACTAGATATTTCCAAACATCCAAATCGCCTTCTAGAATAGAATCAAGGTCAAGCCGCCTTCCAGGTGTTGTTTACTTTCTCTTCCTTTATGTGTATTAAACAATTATCACTTTCACTGAAATTTATCATGTTGTAGTGCTCTTCGTCTTCCAGTAGATGGCTCTCTTGCTCCAAATCCCCACATTAAACAGTGTACCAAAAAACAGCTGATTGTCAGATAAATCCAGGGCATTTAAAAATAAAAATAAGAAAGGCAGTTTCTTCCAGTTTCTTTCAAATTGTTTTAGCTTTTTTTTAGGCTTTCTAAAGTTTAAAGCTTTTTCTTCGCCTCTTAATTTTTAGCTTTTAGCCTTCTCTGTGTGTCTAGTTGCCGCTTTCTCAATGTGTGGAGATTATTTTTAAAGCTCTTTTACTTGAGTTAGGTCTTTAAAATAAAAGTTGGAAGTTATCCCACCCAGTTTCAATGCTCTGTCCACTAACTGCTCCAGCACAGATCTTATGGTCCCAGCTGTCACAGCTTGTGATTTGCCAAAATGGCCATCATCCCTGCTGTCATTCAGGAGAGCTTTCTTCAAGAAAATTGTGAATTCCTTGACAACGACGAAGCATCTCTCCTTTCTTCACCAGCCCTTGAAGGCGGCTTTGACCCCGTAGGGTCTCCCGACAGCAGTTGCTGACTGGATTTTGCAAAGCTTGGCGGAGCTCTGCTATTTTCCAGCCGTTCTTGCCATGACATTAACCGGAAGTCAACCAGAAGAAGAAAGTAGAAAACACAAATAGGGAAAATAGTAGTATATATACAGACAGATAATAGAATTTATAAAATTAATAAAAAGGTTAGAAGGTGGAAGTTTAGGATTAGGTAAACTAATTGTATTATTATTATTAACAGTGTGTAAAAAATATATTGAAAATTAAAATACTTAAGGATTGGAAATTGTGGGGACTTTGAAATATAATCCCAGGACTGATCAAATTTTGTTAAGAATTGGCCTTATTAGTATTTTTAGATATTTGGGGTATTAGAATTATGGTGGAACAATGAGTAATGTTTATAATATTAAATATTAGTGATTCAGTAGAGGATAACAAATATATGGTATAAAGAAATATTATTGATGCTTAAATGAATTTATGAAAAAAGTGGTAAAGAATCATAAAGAGAGAATGGTATTGTTGAAGTTGGAAGATTAGGATGATATATATTTAATTGTATTATTATTGTTAGAGTTGTGTAAAAAAGACATTGACCCAATCAATACAGTCCACAAAATATGTGTTAAAGAAAAACTATAAATAAAACATTAAAAAGGGAGTTTTTCTTAATATGGTACAGAAAACAGAAACAAAGCCTTGTAATTTGCTTTTTTCACATAAAACAGTTTACAAAATCTTATTCTACTATCTTTCTAAAAGTTTACAATTATTTTACTTCTATTCTTATTTAATCTATATGTTCCTATGTCTCTCTCCTATTTCTAGGTTCCTATTCCTATTCCTACCTATTTAACTAATAGGTATTTCTTCTTTAAATCTTTCCTATTCCCCCTCAGAACTTCAACTCTAGTAGCCAATCTCAGTCTATTTGCATATGAAAACTCTTTTTCATTCATTTATAGACTTGCCAGTGGGCTTTTCTCTCCGCTTCCGCTCTCCTAGTTCTCTATTTCTGGAGCTGGTTTGTTAGAGAACTCTGCACCTGAGTTGCTACACACAGTATAGTTTTGCAGGCTTGCTGGGGTTTGCAGATACTTGTTTGGGCTCTTTTCCTCCCCCATCTGTCAGCTTTACCAGTTGGTCTTGAAGATCCAAAAATTGAAGTTTTCTCCTCAGTTTTCTCTGAAGACTGCTCTGACATGTTGGCCTTTGGGTAGGAGTTTTTCTTTTCTATGTTTCTCCTGGAGTCTTTTCATCCAGGACATGCTTGTTTTCAGGTCCCAGATCTTTTCTGGGCATTCGTCACACCACCTTTACTACCAATTTATTGAAATATTTCTCTCTGTTATCCCTGACAGGATAGAAAACCTGCACATATACCCAGTACTACAGGCATTCTCACTAATGGTGCTTTATCTTGTGGCCCTTTTTGCTAGATTAGTTGGCCTTCTGTTCCTGATTTACAGTGATAATTGCTATCTTTGACTATGCCTGGCCAGATCACTTTAGGAACGTAAATAATGTCTGATCCCTGCCTATATGTCTTCACCAAGGATTCTCATGAGCTACGTATTTGGAGAAATTCTTCTGTATACCTTTGAGATACCACTATTTGTTCATATTTTTCTTTAGGTTTTTTTGTTCGTGTTTTTCTTTAGTTCATGTTTTTCTTTAGTTTAGTAGTATATAAATATCAGGTTAGTTAAATATCTAACCTGACATTTATATACTACTAAAACTTTTTTTTTGTAACCTTCAATTAGGTGAAACAGCACATGTCAGGGCATTGAATCAACAGATCTCAAATGGGCTAATTCAAAGAAAGCATCTAAAATCCAAAATCCATTATTCCTGCAGATTGAAATTGGCACAGTTGTGGCTGGTACTACAGCAACGGGGTGCCACAGTCAGCTGTAGTCATGTGATTGTCATTTCCAATGTTCCCTGCCATCTTTCTACAAGGAAAGTCAATAGGGGAAAGCCATATAATTTCTCTCCTTGGTTACTTCATTCTTTCTTTTTCCCCACAGTGGAAACATTTTCAGGTCCATTTTTCTTAAAGCCTTTCTTTAGTCCATTTACCCCTTCAAGTA